CCCGATGGGAAACATTCAATTTCAGAAGGCCATAGGCTCAGAAGAATTGATATGGTCTGCCTGGTCTCAACTACCAGGATCATCTCCAGCAATTTAGGTGAGTCTGTCTGAGAAGAAATTCAGGAAAAAAAAGTGGCACGAGCATTTTCCTCTATAAAGCCTCCAATACCTGACCCTTACTCATGAGAAGGATTTCAAACTCTTTCTGTTGGCATGCCAAGCAGAAGAGGTGTGGGCATTTCTCAAAATTATGCCTAACAAGCAAATGCTACTACTAAACCCTCACAGTGACAGCTAATTCATAACAGAAACAGCATCTTATCTATATATTTTAACATCTAAGATGAGCTCTTGTATAAGTCAAGGAAGGTTTGGGGGCCTAAATTATGGACTTTGATTTGATCTGTGAATAAGTTGAGTGTAATTCTGCAGAAAGGGGAAAGTATCAATGCTGATTCAGGAGGCTAACTGTCCCTGATCACTGCTTTCATTTCTCCATTCAGCCATTCAAAAACGACAGAAATGATGCCAGGTGAAGAGACTAGAGGAGGTTAAGGTTTCTTTTAGGTTCTGCCAGGACTAAGCTCTTGCCCTTTCTCACTCTACCCAGAAGATGGGATAGTTCTTTAAAGAAGAAAAAAGGTACAATTCACTTTGACGTATAGATAAGTCACCCCTGTTTTTTGGGGGGTTGAATTTTTGACTACGATTAATAGACTTATACATGCGTATATAGTATAGTTTAACTTCCAGTGATTCTTTTGTTACACAATCCCCCTGATATCTTGAATATGACCCCCTTATTCAAAAATGTCCTATCCTTACCCAGGAAATTCCGAATACAACCCTTTCTCACAGTGGAACAGTTCTGAATTTTCAGCATAATGTCGTATAATGTGACATAATGTAGTGGGAAAGAGGACATGTTGCTCTTGAGATATGCTGCAACCTTTTCCTCCCTTTCACATTACATTTTTTGTAAAAGCAATTTGCCTTCCATCATGTTCTCTCACACATGGTGTTCAAAACAATTAAAATAAAATTGCACCCATCAGCCTGAAAGTTTCAAAGATAAGAAGCAATTCCCAGCATGAATAAACTGTGAAGTGCATTTGAAAATAACATTTTTAATGATAATTGACATCAAAACCTTTATTTTCCTAATATATTTCACAGTTTTTGCATGCTGGGAAGGGCATGTTTTCTTTCAAACTCTCAGATGGCTCAAGTGAAGAAAATTGATACAATTTTCTTTTAAATAAAGTAAAAATATGAGAATGTGATTAGTATTTTAAACATTATTTTTCAAAATAAGATTTTCAAAATAACATTTTCAAAGTCTTTCACTCTGCTTACATTATTGACTACACTTTGTTCTTTTGGAGGTTGGGTGAGGTAATGCTTTGTATTTCTTGATCTGGTTTTTAGGTTGTATCATTCTTGATTAAAACTTGATATTGTTATACCATGAATGGATGTAATCATAAATTTCCAAAAGAGTTTCTGATAAAGTTTGTTCCTAATTAATAAATCTGTGTCTATCTTAGTGCCTTCGTCCCTTTTCTAAAGTGTGTTGCTCTTTTTAATGTTTGCAGTAATGTGCACATAGTGTATAAAGTAATAATAAGGCAGGACCACCCTGGAGGAATGTAATTTACAAGCTAACATTTTTCATAGTAAGAAGTAACAGAATAAGAAGAAAGCAGAATTGAATGCAACCCTAAGAATGATGTATTGTGAGTTGTTTGCTTTATCTTCGTTTTCACTAGAAGAAGCGCCCGGTGGCACAATGTGTTAAACCCTTGTGCCAGTAAGACTGAAGACTGACAGGTCAGAGGTTCAAATCCAGGGAGAGTGTGGATGAGCTCCTTCTGTCAGCTCCAGCTCCCCATGTGGGGACATGAAAGAAGTCTCCCACAAGGATGATAAAACATCAAAACATCCAGGTGTCGACTGGGCAACGTTCTTGCAGATGGCCAATTCCCTCACACCAGAAGTGACTTGCAGTTTCTCAAGTCATTCCTGACACACACACACAAATTCTAGAAGACGAAGACTAAAATTACCCAAAGTTTTGCACAAATGACGGAGATGGAGAGCTTTTCAGGGGGAAAACGATGGACAGAGAGCACTGCAGTACATCAAAGATCCTATAGCAGATAATTCCAGTGGGAATAAGATAAACCTTTGTTCACTTCACATTTAAATTGCTTAATTCCACATCTTCAAATCAACATGCAGGCTGAAAATCAGCTAACCCACACAATTTACACATTTCCAGATAACACAATCAACTTTTCCATATCTGACGAAACATACATATAAAAATGGTCCAAAAGTGCTCAGATCTGGGAAAACTCTTCTAATTGCCACCAAGAGCAAAACTGTGGCCTGCTAAGGGTCTCATGAACTTCAGGAAACTGATGCTGCTAACACTCTGGAAGGTTGAGAGTTCCCACCTTTAGAGACATTTGCATCTTACTTGCCCAAAGACAATGTTTGAAGTCCTGGATCAGAGGGTGAAGAAACAGGTAGGTGAAACTATATTCCTTCAGATATTTGACTGAACGCTTGGTTTACACTAAATACATAAATATTAACCTGAGGCTCCTTTGAGCTGAAGAGCAAAACAATGACACCTCTTTGCCCCTAACAGCAGTTTGACTGTAGTGTTCTCTATGCAGTTTATAAATATTAGTTAAATACAGTTTATAGAATTGTTTATGATGGACTTTGTGATAGCCAACCAATCCTGTAAGTAGAATGCAAAGGATCTGTGTTACCAATTCTCCTTCATAAAATGGTTTATGAGTAACTCTTACACTGGACCTTGAGGCATATTGTCATCCCTCACCTTTTTGCTCCCAATATTAAATGTCCAACAAAATCCATCCTGGCCCTTAGTACACTTTTAATTCTATTAAACACATGGGATGAACAAACAAGATATCTTCAAAGGACAAAACAAAAATGTTAGTATTCACTTTAATTTTATATTTGTTGTTCTCAGCATATCCATTAATGTGTACCTGCTTTCAATATACTATTTCTTTAAGCTTGACTTTCCTTATTTTAATTCACTAATTCAAAACCTAATTGGCAAAACTTTCCTTGCTTCCTATGTCTACCGTAGAGTGACCCTGATTACTTAAAATGAACAAAACTGAAAAAAAAATAGAATATTGTTTGTTACATCGGTTCGGATAAAAAGAATAGAAACAAGCTGTTTGTGTCTTTCTTGTCACTAAGATCAGCTTTTTGTGCTTGGTTAGAGTGAGAAATAGATAGGAAATATAAAATGAAGTAAAAACATACATGTAGAGACTTTATGCTAGAGGAGAGAACTTTTGTGAGATCTAGAGAATGTTGTGACCATAATTTCATAACAGTGAGGTTTTATTTTATTTTAGTTTTTATATCATACTCAGAGGTCTGTTCAGAAACACAGTGGAAAAAAAGAGTTAAACACAGCCTCTCAGCTCTCTTTCAAAGCAATGTCCAGTTTTTAATGGTCTTTAACTACAGGAGTACTTCAGCTCTCCCTGAAGTCTTCCTTTGGGTCAAGGCCTTGATCACAAGGAGACAGCACAGCAGTTGTCTCCTCTGAAGTTGACTTGTTTCCTGAAACCAACTGCCTTTCCCTGTCATTCTGGCCTGAAGTTTTCTTGAAAAATCACCTTTGCAGTTTTCCCCTCAGTATGAAGTCTTACAGCATCTGCTTTCAGTTATTCTTATTCTTTCTTGCCATTCATTTCCTCAGGCTCTTCTATCTCTGTCTGCCCACACTACTTCCCACTGCTTCAATTGACCCTGGAATGTATCATGTGCCCCCTTCTATAAAAACACATTGATCAATAACACTAATAAAATAACAACAATAACAATATTTCCCTCCTTGCTTAAACCATACTCAAAGAAATAGATGGCTGAGTCTACAGTGGTCTAAAGTTAACATGCAATAAAGATAGAAAAATCTCTGCTACAGTAGTCTCGCTTATCCAACATAAATGGGTTGGCAGAACATTGGATAAGTGAAAATGTTGGATAATAAGGAGGGATTAAGGAAAGGCCTTTTAAATGTCAAATTACATTATGATTTGACAAATTAAGCACCAAAACATGTTTACGACAAATTGACAGAAAAAGCAGTTCAATACACGGCAATGTTATTTAGCAATTACTGTATTTACGAATTTAGCACCAAAACATCTCAGTGTATTGAAACAGCTGTGGATCCAGGTGGGAAGCAGACTGCGCTGGATAATACAGAACATTGGATGACCGAAGGTTGGATAAGCAAGACTCTACTGCAAACTTTTTGGAACAGGACTTCCCAGTCTCCACGAAGTGGAGGCTGGGAAGGAAATTTGCCTCGCCCCAAGGAGAAGAGGCTGGAAAATAGATCCGGCCGGATCTATTTTCCAGAGGGGGAGGAGCTAAGAGGCAGCTTCCGCCCCCTCTAGCCTCATTCTGAATGAAGACTTCGAGGAGAGAAGACCTCGAAGACAGGAGCTGAGCCATGAGGTCTGTAAGGGGGTGGGGGAGGGGGATGCAGGAGCAGAGGCAGTTGTTGCTTGTTGGGTCCCCTGCGTCTCCCCTTCCCCACCTTGGAAAGGGGTCGGAGAGGGGATTTTGCTTCCCCTGTTGGGGCCCGTTTTCGGGGTTTTTTCCGGGGGGAAGGGGGCAGTCGGTAACCCGCTCCCCTTTCCTCCACCCCCCCTTTTTTCTTCCCATTTTACCAGGCCCTGGAGCGCTGGGCCCGCGGCGGCGCCGCGTGGGACGCGTCGGGCGCCGCCTGGATATGCTTACCGGCTGCATCTTAGTCAGGCCGGGGCGTCGCGGCGCATTGGCGGCGCAGCGGGTTTGATGGGCTCTTCGCGGCTGCGGGGAACCGGCCGTTTGACTCCAGGGGCCTTCTTTGGCTTGCGGAGCCTCTTACATTGGATAAATAAAATAATAAATATGTGGACAGGTTGCTGGGCACGCGACAGGCGCGCAAGATGGCGGCCGCCGGGAGGTCGGAGCAGCCTCGTGGTGGAGGCTGCGCGGCGCCATCTTGTGGGTGGGACCGCCAGCAGCCATTTTGTCAGTTTTGCAGGCAAATTCACGGCCCTAACTGGCAGGGGAAACGCTGGGATGGGTGCACTTAGGAATAAAATCCTGCCTATTGTGGCTCCATAGGCCGATGAATAGAGGGAATAAATAACCGCTTAAATGTACTAATACAAGAAATGGGATTATGGGTGCAACAATGAGAGGAGGCATCAATAAAGAATATGTGGGTATAGATGTATACATGTACAGGGATGTATATGTACATGCGCATATAAAGATAATAATAATGATAAGTGTGTATATGTGTGTACATGTACATATAAGAATTACACAATAATAATACTAATAATAATATGAAGTAAATAAATAAATAAATAAATAAATAAAAGAGAGAGACAAATATGTATATATGTACGCACGGAGTTAGAGGTAATTTGAGTTTATAGAAGTGGCGGTAGATATAGAGGCTTGACATCATACATGTCTAATATGTGGGCATATATATGCATATATAAAACTGATATGGGGCCTCCGAGACACACCAGGCTAGAAGGTGTAGCATTGACCACATTAGGAGGGCGAGCTGCCAAGACAGCACCAGTTTCTGCCAACCGGCAGTTAAATACAGGTAAATGTGAGTAGATCAATGGGTGTCATCCCGGTGAGAGGATGGCGGCGCTTCGGGCAGTCATGCCGGCCGCATGGCTTGGGAGGAGTCTATGGACAACACCAGCTCTTGGGCTTAGAAATGGAAATGAGCACCATATCCCTTAGTCAAGGGACGAACTTTACATTTAATGAGGAGCCTAATTAGCGATAAAGGGAGGATTGAGGGCCCCTTGGGGCCTCTTCCAACTTTGAAATTTTAGGATCCAGCGAATAGGGGTTACAATGGCGGTCGGCGAACGTGGTGCCCTCGATTATGATACTGGACTACCGGCTAATATCCTGCTTTTATTTTTCTTTTTTCCAGCTTTACACCCAGAAAGAATGTGGGGGGTTCTAAGGGTAAGGGGCCGGCAAAAAGAACGCCAACAAAACGCCCGCCCCCACCTTCTAATGGATCATCGGAGGACGATGAAGCGACCACCGAGACTTTGAATGCACTCCTTGCCCGGGTCAACGCACTAGAAAAAGGAAAAGGAGCGGCTGCTCCATCCCCTTCCCAAAGGCCAGTGCGCTTAGCCAGCAGGGCCCTTATGTTAAAATCTCTTTCCTCTCGTATCACAGCTTTAGAGGCAGCCAGAAACGCAGAGGGGGGCGCGGAGCAAACCCAAGCGGCTGATCAAGCAGCCAGCCAGCCGACAACACCAGCGGTAGCTCCAGCGGCGGCAGGCCCTCAGCCGATACCCTGTCAACCACAGAGCATCAGCCCCAGTCAAGGTAATGTAGACGCAGCTATTTGGCCTTGGGGGCGTTTGGCCCCGCAAGGCGGGTCGCCGGGCCCGACAGGGGCCATTATACAAAACCCTGGAGACACAACATTCACTGAGGGCACTCAGTCAACACCAGCTACGCACACTGCGCCTCAGGGCACACAGGGTACCTACGCGGGGGCGGTACAGCCAGCAAGGGCCATTGCTAGCGTTGTCGCGGGTGCCATACCCGCCGACGTGGCACACCAGTTCTGGGGAACGGCAAGTTGGCCTTTGCCAGCCCCACGTCGCATGGCTACCACATCATTAGGATCACATTTGGCGCAGAAAACTATCGAAAAAATATTAAAAAATGAATACGTGGACATTTTTACGCTCTATTATAGAGAATTGGAAAAGAAGGAGAAGGATGAATTGGACGAGGAACAAAGGGAAAAAGTTAAAAAACGCAGGGTAGACCAAAATTGGTCAAACTGGTTTACTTGCTTTCTGATATATGCAGGGGTGCTTTCAGAAGCTTATCCTGCGAGAGCACATTCACTATTTCAATATCTGAACATTATTTACACAGCCTATGTAAATTTCACTGGCAATGCGTGGTTGCTGTACGACAAGCGTTTTCGCTTCGACGCAGCCCGTTACCCCACTCTCCGCTGGGATTTGATAGATGACCAGCTTTGGATTGAGGTAATGACCCCAGCACGGGCAGTATATGGTGACAAGGCGGATAGTGGCCATACGGTACAAAATTTTAAAACGGGACAGGCCTTTCGTCAACAACAACAACAGCAGCAACAGCAATTACACCAGCAACGGGCAATCTGCTGGGAATACGCAGCACAGGGAGCATGCTCAAAGAAAGGATGTAGATTCCAGCACTATTGTTCCATATGTAACGGCTCTCATCCCACAAGAAATTGCAACAAAGCCAAGAGCTTTAGGCCTACTCCAACCCCAAAGAAAGTTGCAGGTCAGCCCCCCTTTCCCAAAGGGCCCCAGTCCAGTTAAACTGCAGGAACTGGAGGGTTGGCTGCACGCATACCCTGACAAAAGGGCTGCTAGCTACATACGTAGTGGCTTTAGAGACGGCTTTCGCATTCCGGCAGGGGGTCCCAGGGTCCCGTTTACAGCACCTAACCTAAAATCGATTATAGGCATGGAGGAAATAGTGAGGGACAAGATTGACAAAGAGGTTCGGGAGGGCCGGGTTTTAGGCCCGTTTCCGGATCCTCCGACCTCCTCCTTCAGGGTGTCGCCTCTGGGTTTGGTACCAAAGAAAAACCCAGGCGAATTTCGTCTCATTCATCACTTGTCATACCCACGTGGAGAGTCAGTGAATGACGCGATCCCTGATGATTTTTGTACAGTACATTACACTTCATTTGATTCGGCAATCCAGAAGGTGCGTGCACGGGGCCATGGGGCTGAACTGGCGAAGTGCGACATTAAATCAGCTTTTCGCATCTTGCCAGTACACCCCTTGGATTTTGATTTGTTAGGTTTCCAGTTCGAAGAAAAGTTTTATCTCGATCGGGCACTACCCATGGGGTGTTCCGTATCGTGTTCCGCGTTTGAGACTTTTAGCACTTTTTTAGAATGGGTGGTGAAGAGTCATACAGGCTTAAACGGTGTGGTACATTATCTCGATGATTTTTTTATTTATGGGCAGACAGGCTTCAGGAGAATGTAGTTATTTGCTTGCTTCCTTCCAAGAGTTAATGGAGCGATTGGGCGTGCCTCTAGCTGAGGAGAAAACCGAAGGTCCAGCTACCAATATGACATTTTTAGGGATCCAGATAGATACACTGCACCAATATTCCAGGCTTCCAGAAGAAAAGATATCCAATCTCATTGATAGAATTCACATATTCTTAACTAGGTCCAAGACAACTCTGAGAGAACTACAGGAGCTGATAGGTCATCTCAATTTTGCGTGTAGGGTAGTGGCCCCTGGTAGAGCATTCCTAAGAAGGTTATGTGAGGCCACGTCAGGGATAACCTTACCGCACCATCACATTAGGATCACACAACCTATCAGGGAGGACCTTCGTACATGGCTTCAATTCCTGTCCGAATTTAATGGCATATCTTTCTGGAGGCAGGAATTGCTGCTGCGGGACGCGCTGCAAGTGGCATCTGATGCAGCGGGAGCCATAGGCTTTGGCATTTACTTCAATGGGAGGTGGTGCGCAGAGATATGGCCCACACATTGGCACGCAATGGGGATAACCACCGATCTCACATTTTTAGAGTTCTTTCCTATTTTGGTAGCCATCACAATATGGGCTAAAGAGTTTGCCAATTCATCGGTACACTTTTGGTGTGACAACGCTGCCACAGTGCAGGTGATCAACTCACTCACATCAAAGTCCAAAAGGGTGATGGAGGCAGTGAGATACTTTACTTTACATTGCTTACAGCATAACATTCTGTTTCGGGCTTTTCACATTGCGGGAATAGAGAATACTATTGCTGATTCTCTGTCCCGCATGCAGATTGGGCGCTTCAGAAAGCTGGCCCCCGACGCGGATCTCCTGCCACACCGCATGCCCACCCATCTCTGGAGAATTGGAGTGAAGAGTTAGTTAGGGGCATGAAGTTAGCCCTGGCTCCTACGTCTAGAAGATCCTACGTCAGGGCCGTTCAGGAATTTCTCGAATTCCGGCAGATTTACGCCTTAAGCTCCGACATGCCGGTCCCTTACGAGCAGGTAGCCCAGTTTTCAATTTACTTACACCGGAAGGGTTTGGCCCCGCAATCAGTGRGATCTAGGTTAGCAGCTCTCGCCTTTTGGCTAAAAGCACAAGGTCTGCCAGATCCCARGGGAGATTTTCGCATCCGTAAGTGGTTAGTGGGATTGTCTCGGGAGCGAGGTAACCCTCGCGATCAGCGGGAACCAATGACACCTACAATCTTAAAGGGCTTGCATAAGACCTGGCCCCAGCTATGTACGACCCAATACGAAGCCGTGTTATTCCATGCAGCAGCCTTAACAGCCTTTTTTGGAGCGCTTCGAGTTAGCGAATTAGTAGTTGGCTCCAAYACAGARATTTCCCAGCGAGCACTTTTGTTGGCCGATTTAAATTTGGAAGAAAACAAAGTAAAATTGACTATAAGGTCATCAAAGACGGATCAAAAGGCCAAAGGAGCTTTGATTAGTTTGGAAAGGTGTGACCAAACCGAGTTATGCCCAGTTACGGCCATGGCTTTATATATAAATATGAGAGGACAGGTGCCAGGCCCGTTGTTTTGCTATCAATCGGGGACACCGTTGACGAAATTCCAATTTTGGGCAATAACTTCTCGAGCTCTCAAGCTCCTTGACATACATGGTCATAAATTTGGCACACACTCATTTAGGATAGGGGCCGCATCCACAGCAGCAGCCTTGGGTTATGGAGTTCAGCAGATAAAGGACTTAGGCAGGTGGAAATCACGAGCTTATCACTCATATGTTCGCCCAGTTCAGATGTAGTTACATGTCTTTTCGTTTCAGATGCTGGGCGGCTGACACATAGGAAGCGAGTGCTGATCTGCGGCCACAGTTACGTGTATTGGGCGGAARGTCAGGCTCGTAAAGGACACTATGGTCAGCACCTTGGTCTGGGTTCAATGGCATTTGTTGATTGGAGAGGTRGCAGAGGCCTCCGTTGGGATGGGRTAWTRCCTTTGTTATTTGATTCTTCTGTGATGGGATGCCCAGATATCCTAGTTATCCACCTTGGTGGAAATGATTTGGGACTGCTGAAAGGCAGGGCCCTGTTTCTTCAAGCAGTTGCTGACATGAAAGAAATCTTGGATCGGTGGCCCCAGACACACTTGGTGTGGTCTGAAGTGATCCCACGTCTCAATTGGCCCGGTGGGGGCGAGGCAAGAAAAATCGATGGGGCCAGAAAAAGGGTCAATCGAGCAATGCGGAAAGTTCTGGGGGACGGTCTGGGGACCTATATTCAGCATCCAGATATCGTCCACACCAGGACAGAACTGTATAGGCATGATGGGGTCCATCTGTCCGACCAGGGGAATGCACTATTTTTGGCTAATCTGCAGCTAGGTATTAGGCAAGTTTTAGGAGATTTGGTGGGTGATAGGGGCTAAGGGGACCCTTGCCCCTAATCTGTGGCGGAATTAGAGGATAATCACATCTGTTGGCGTACACCCAATGCATACTMYTATAGGTCAAAGTGGAAACCCTCARCGGTGGGCTTGGGACACAGGTGAGGGCGTACACAAATGGCCTGAAACCGGAGACCCTGACCTGATTCCTTGGGCAGGGTAGTCCATTGCGTTTCTTTGCAAAGGTCGTCCTGGTTACTTGACACAGAGACCTGGTGTTTTCGTCCATTATCAGCCGAGGGGCAGGTCGGGCAGGAACGCTACCTCGGCTTTAGCCTCACCAAATTACTYCTTCAGGTTAYCTCAACAAAGGTTCATGTTGGTAAGTTTTAAATAGGTAACGTTAATAAAGTTGCCCGTAGTTTACTCCATACTTGTGTCTGTGTCTCTTCTTCCGGGGGTGGGAAGGCAATTTAAATTGACAGGATAAATAGTGGACTAGTAACATACATAATGTCTGCCTGGTAACATAAAAATAATTGTAACAGGATTAGACTGATAACAGTATGGTCTTCTGGGCTAAAGAAAGAGATTGATTCTGCAGGTTGATTTTGCAGGTTGCAGGTCAGCCATGGTAAACCCAAATGGAGGCCCATTGTGAAAAAAATCCAATGAAATTTTCCTGAATCTTAGTGAAAGTAGTATGAAGTTATACTTGGCTAATTCAGTACCTCTATTACCTCATGGGTTAGACCATGCTCAGTCACCTCTTTTACATTACTGGTTTTGCCTTAGTATTCTAAAATGTTGAGTTAGAAATATTGAGTTAGAAATATTCAGTTATATTTTTGGGAGAAAGTTACAATGAGTAAATAGGGAACTAAATGTACTGGTGTAATGCACAAGTTACTTTTGTAATATAGACATGTTTTTAATGAGCATTTATTGAGGTATTTTGGCAGGTGATCCTTAAGCTTTGTTCCTCCTTTTATCAGCTCTAAGGTGTTTGCTTAAATGTAGTAATCCACAAAATAATTTTGCAACATGATTAATACTAATTACTTAACTTTATCACTATATAGAAAAAACAAGAACTTATTACTATTTTAAAAAGCAATACAACGTACTATGACATTTGTCCCTTTGGGAAGTTATTTTTATGGAGAGATCTTAACTTCTCATTAAATACAGTATTAGAATAAATCTGTAACCATTATAATAATTTCTGCATTTCCCTTAAGTATCGTTAAATACTATTGGGGAAGATCAACATATTCTTGCAATTTTTATCTTTTTCTCCACATAAAGGATGATCAGATTATTACACTTACCTGGAAATCCGACAGAAATCTGTGCCATTGTGTGACTATTATAACTGATAACAGTATTAAAGATTAACTTTAATACTGTTGTGGAATTTAAACACAGGACTATACTTGGCATGACTTAAAACTGGATCACATGATTTGGGGAAAAAGAAGGGAAGATGGAATGATGAATGCATTGTTCTGAATGTACATCATCCTGAATATCAAGTAATATAACTATTATCAATGTTTAAAAATGCTTCTTTTTCCTAGTTACACCTTCATCATGCTGCATAAATCTCCCTCTTTAAGGGGAACATTGTCCACAGTAAACTGTTTCAAGTCTGCATCCTTTTTGTTAGTAAGGTGTTTTTTTTATATTCTGAAGAAGGTTGCATAAAAAATAAATTGGCTGGCACACACAATGTGTACTTTTTCTGGCCTATTATTTCTGATCATAGTTGCAAGATGCATGCAGACATAAATCAAAAAGGCTTCACAAATAAAATGTTTTCTTCTGTACCTCCTACACACAGCAATTGCTTTTAAGTTTGGCTTTATTCTTCCTCAGTACAAAATGATTGATTGATTGCTCACAGTTTGCATGACTCCCTGCTGCCCTAGATCCATCTCTGCTCCTCACACTCCATACAGTTCTTGCATCATTGACTTTCTGCCAGCCATTTTGCTGCTAGTGCCTGAGCTGACATTTAATGATCTTTAGACGCAGTAATGTCACATTTATCACTCTTTATCAGTTGTGACAGACCCAATTCAAATGAAAACATGAAATGTAGACTGAATCCAATCCAAATACTGATATGTGTTTGACTGGCATCCATCAAGAGATGCTGAGGTGGAAAGTGAAAAATGAACTGCTGTTTCTGACGTTAAAATTACCTTTAATAATTTCCCTGGCTACCAGTATTTTTCCTTCCAGGATTTGTAGGGAAGCAGAGAAGCTCTCATTTTTTTTTCTTAAAAGAAAATGCTTGTGTGAACATTTCTGAGGAAACAGTGGAGGCATACATTTTGAAGATGCGAATGATCTATTCATATTTCCTCATGCAGGTTTTAAAGAAATTTGTGGTGAGGCAATTCAAAAAAATACATTTTTGCTCCCCAAATTTCAGAAGCTAGTTCCGCAGAGCACATATTGATAGTTTCACTTCTGCAAAAATTGTAACAAGCCCAGCTTTGCAATATCCTGAAGTGCTTTCATTGCTTTAAAATATTTCCTATTAAGTAGAGTTCTTCCTCCAAGAAAAGAAAATGTCAAAACAAATGTTCAGGCATATGTAGTTTTTTTATGCTCTGAATTCACTGCATGTTGTTATAAAATACAAAACTGGAAAAAGTTGACTTCTAATGAGTAAAACTAGGTGATTCTGAAGAAATATAATCACCTCTGAAACTCAAAATGGAAAGGATTTTAAAAGTCTCTGCTTAATTAGACCAATGCAGCCCAGACTCCTATTTTCTTGGAAACTAACTAGGCATCTCTAGATTAAAGTCCCTTCAAATTCTGTCACAATATGATATTGCTTACCAGATGGATATTTAAAAGAAAAGCAAGTGCTGAAACGGAATGGTATATGATTCCATATATGTGTGTGTGTGTGTGTATAACAGTGGTTCTCAACCTATGGGCCCCCAGATGTTTTGGCCTTCAACTCCCAGAAATCCAATTGGTTTACCAGCTGTTAGGATTTCTGGGAGTTGAAGGCCAAAACAGAAATCCTAACAGCTGGTAAACTGGTTAGGATTTCTGGGAGTTGTAGGCCAAAACACCTGGGGACCCACAGGTTGAGAACCACTGATATAAAAGGATGAGACATCATATAATTAAGCTGGCTTAATTCATAGCTCAGTTGTTATTGGGACTGTGAGAACTATTGTCTGTGGAAACTATTAATCCCCACCAGAAAAATCCTTGCAAGGATTCTCACAAACCACCTTCTATCTATTTCAGAAGACATCTTCCCTGAATCCCAGAATATCTTCCACCCCTCTAGAGAAACAGTGGATATAGTTTTCACTGCACAACAGCTCCAAGAAAAATGTGGGAACAAAATCGACCTTTGTGCATGGTATTCCTTGACCTTGCAAAGGCCTTCAACAACATGAATCATAATGCTTTCTGGACCATCCTCCTTGAAATTGGATGTCTTGATAACTTTGTGACCACACTGTGACTACTTCATGATGACATGATGACAACAGTCTTAGACAGCAATGGCTTCCAAAGTGACCCAATTCAGGTAGGGTCAGGTGTCAACCAGGGATGTGTTATTATCTCAACCTTATTTTCCACCTTCATAGCTATGATTGTACACCTTGTTGATGGGTAATTTAAACAAATAGCTAAAGTAAGAAAGATGTCATTACATTACATTTTTAACAAAGTATATTTGCTGTTCCCCACTTTGAGTCTTGAGGAGAGGTTGTTAACTATCAACATTTACAGTGGGGGGAAAGTATTTAGTCAGATACCAATTGTACAAGTTCTCCCACTTAAAAAGATGGGAGAGGCCTGTAATTGAAATCATAGGTAGACCTCAACTATGAGAGACAACATGAGAAAACACATCCAGAAAATCACATTGTCTGATTTTTAACTAATTTATTTGCAAATTACATATCAGCTCAAAACATTTTAAAGTATGTACAATTTAAATTCCACAACATATAGAACTTAAAATAGAATTTAATAAACTAATATACTAATCCCTGACCTACTTTTTTCCAGGCCAATCGTTCATTTTCAATATCAAAAACCCAGTGGACTAAAAGAAGTTCAACTCAGTAAATCACTAGGTAAAATTAAAATGGCTTGTAATCAACCAAACCAAAAGCGAATAATCCATTCCCACAGTGGCTATCCAAATGCTTATAAGAAGCCCACTAACAGAACTTGACTATAAAAATACTCTTCCACATATTCTTCCCAGCAACTGATATAAATACTTCTCGTACTGGAGGAAACTTTATCAATATTACGACCAATAGGCTCTGACAGTCTTCTATAATTTTTTCCACTCTACTTTTAAAGCCATTCAAGTTGGCATTTGGTATCTATATTGTACACAAATTCCATAGTTTCACTAAATAATACTGTGTACTTCTTTTTCCTTGCTCTGAGTCTACTAGCTTCAGTGGATGGCTTGGGGTATTAATAAATCTGTATGTGCTTTGACGTAATGTGTTGTATGATGCAGCTTAGTTTTATGCAACTCTTACTTGGGTCTCAAAAGTTGTCATGCGTAGTGGAACTGGAAAATTGTAGCTAAATGTACCTATCTTTATTTTTAAGATGTTTTAAACTGTAAACACAGGTAGAATAATGTCAATTTAACTAATCATTTCATAGTACAAACAGCATATTATTAACTTGATTTTCTTAACATTGCTGATTCCACGTTTATCTTCCACAAGTGTCTAACAATATTACTCCCTCCCCCCTCTCCACCCACTCTCTGGGAACAGTACTTTCATTGGTTCAAATATTATTTTAATTGATCAATCATGTATGGTTCAGTTCTTTGTATTTCCCTTTTCCTCTATCAATCTTCCACATTTCAGATGCCACTTCTTCTTGGTCTGATGTATATTTGGTTTTCCTTTCAAGGATGTAATCCCGGAGCATAAAATTGAACCATTTTTAAACTTCCCACTTTCTATGCTCTTTCCAGCCCAACACCACAGTTGCTTTGGCGGCGACTGTCAGATATTTTATAATTTTGGACCAGTCTTTAATGCTATCCTTCCTATCTACTTTCTGGGTGAAGAATTCTTTTTTGTTCAACTTCAATTTATGTTCTGTTAATTCTTCTGTTTCCTTCTTTAACTTGTTATAAATGTTTTGTACTTTATTACAGTCCCACCACATATACCATTGCCTATTGGAGCCAATTAGTTATGTGGGATAATTTAATTGGGGTTCTATACCATTTGGTCAATATTTTCCTCTGTGTTTCTCTGGTCATATATATATATATATATATATAT